AAATTGCTAAAATTTTTGCCTGTAGGCAGGTCAAGTTCGAAGATGGGCTATATCGGTCCACGTTTAGGCATAGCCCCCATATGAGGTTAACCACCCAATTTTCGATATTTAAGGGTTCTTTTTGGATTCAACATTTCTGCACCAAAAATTATAAATAAAGGTCCATTTTTTTTCGGATAATAACCCACATATTACGGTAGCCCCAATTTACGGCATTTTGGGGATTTTAAGCGCGTTTTCAATCGAATTCGCTGAAATTTGGTACAATGGGTTCTTATTGGTTACCGACCCATATAACCCCCTTTTTATGTTAAACTTTTTAGCAGAATAGTGCCGAGTGTTGTTGTTGTCCCCATATTGGCGCATCCTACCATAGTATGGTCGTTGCTCGAAGTTGTGAGTTTTACCCTACAAATTATCGAATTCTAAGACGATTAGCCATCTGTTTTCATTATTCTGACCAGCATTTAGGATTCTCCCCCATATAATTATACCTACTGAAAGAAATAATTGAGATACAAAACTAAAATATTGGGTTCGAAATAGACATATTCGCTATTCCTACACTATGTAATCAATATTGACATAGCCCATATAACAGTACTTTGAGGATTTTATACTCTGCGTTTTTGGGGTTTTCTTATTTTCGGAAAAAATCCCCATAAAAATTGCTGAAATTTGTATTTGGTAAGCCATTATGTTTACATAAATCGGATTGTAATAGTATCGGTAATGGTCCACTTTTTGTTAAGATTTCTATATTTTCATTGCAAGTATCGGCCCGGCCGAACTTAACGTTTTTATACCCTTTACCATACTGTGGTACAGGGTATTATGTCTTTGTGCATATGTTTGTAACAGGCAAAAGGAATCGAGATAGACCCATGGTTCCTTTTGAGAATATGCATAGAATCACATTCTGAGTCGATTTATGCATGTCCGTCCGTCCGTCTGTCCGTCCGTCCCTCTGTTGATGTTAAATTGTAAACAAAGTACAGGTCGCATTTATAATCCGATTTGGCTGAAATTTGGTACAACTCATTTGTTTGGCCCAAGGACGAACCCTTTTGAAATTGGGAAAAATCGGTTCGGATTTAGATATAGCTCCCATATATATTTTTGCCCGATTTTTGGATCCATGAAAATCCGTCTATTTGGCATAGTTCACTAAATGAAATCTAAAAAGACGTGTGCTAAGTTTTGTGAAAATCGGTTCAGATTTAAATGTAGCTCCCATATATAATTTCGTCCGATTTTAGGTAAATGGTGCACCAAAGTCCCTGTAAATCTTCCGATGTGCACGAATTTTGGCATAGCGTACTGAATTGTGTCTAGAATGATGTGTGGCATGTTTCGTGAAAATCGGTTCAGATTTAGATATAGCTCTCATATAAAGTTTCACCCGATTTTATGTAAATAGTGCACCAAAGTCCCTGCAGATCTTTTGATTTGCACGAATTTTGTCATAGTGTACTAAATTAAGTCTAGAATAATGTGTGCAAAGTTTCGTGGAAATCGGTTCAGATTTAGATATAACTCCAATATATATTTTCGTCTGATTTTATGTAAATAGTGCACCAATGTCCCCATATATCTTTCGATTTTGGGATAGCGCACTGAATTAAATATAGAATGATGTGTGCAGAGTTTCGTGAAAATCGGTTCAGATTTACATACACCTCTTTATATATTTCCGTCCAATTTAAGTAAATGGTGCACTAAAGATCCATAGCTAGGCCCATTGACACAATGTACTGAAGTTAATATAAATTAATCTCCGATAGGTTTCCTTGAAATCGGTTCAGATGTTAAATGTACACCAAATAATCAATGAGTGTCTGATTGAGATTAAACTATAAACAGGGCAGCATACCGAATAGCGTGTGTGTCAAGTTTGCTTTAAATCGGTTTACAAAATTTAGCATAGGTTGCAGAACGACATGTGTAGGGATTGATGTTAGTCGGTTCAGATATAGATAAAGATCACATATTTAAGTTTGTTCAATTTCATGTCAATTTTCCTTCGAAAAATCGACGTATTTTAGGATACATATGTTGAATATACCCAAAGTGGTGAAGGGTATCATATAGTCGGCCCAGTCCGACTTTACCACTTTACTTACTGGTTTCACTTATTTATATTAAAATTGTTATCAAACGTTTTCCGCGTTCGTAGGATATCGAAATAAAAAACTAGAAACTGAGGTTTGAGAATGAATTATATCAGTACTCAATTAGCACCTGGTGGGTATCGCCTCCAGGGACGTACTCATCGATATTTTATTTTTCTGCAATGACAATTTTCATATTGAACCAGCAGCTTTCACCCAACAAACCGAAATAAAACCTGGGTTCGTGGGTAATGGCTTTAGGTAACTGTGACCTCTAAATTGCAGTATTTTGGGGATGTTCCACCCTACCATGCGTCGTCAATATGGGTCCACTTTTTGTTGTTTTTAAGAAAAGTCTCCATGGTATAATCTAACAAATAGTGAATAAACATGCTAATTTTCTTGAAATATCTTAACAAGAAAAATTTTTATTTTATTTCTAGTCGAAAATGTACCATTATTCGTTCTGTCTTGCTCGCCACTTTATACCCAAAATTGTCGGCTTCGTTCGTCAAATCAAACAATAAAATTTAAATGTAAAAACCAGTGAGCGGAGCAGTATAGTCGGACGGGGCCGACCATACGATACCCTACACAACTACCACGGAACTCAAATTTTCTGCGGATGTTTATTCCGAGCCTGGACAATATTTCGTGATATTTGTTGCACCCTCTTGCCCGATTAGAGGTAAACAGCACCTCTTCCTCAAACTGACATATTTTCCGAATATTACGAGTATTCAATACAGCTATTGTCCAGATTCCCTTCACCGTGGGTTGCATTGTGATGTTCGGCTTTCATTTGTGGTCTATAGATCGACTCGAAAATAACACAAAAAATTAAGTTTTCGGTCCACTTCATTCCAAAATTATTATCAGATCATCACCGAAAATGATAGGCGTTGTTCTTGACCATACCCGGAACCTCATGGAACATTTCAAAGCGATCAGCGTTATAGTTCCGCTCTCTAGAGTGATAATGGGTTACTAAATAATATACGAATACGGAGATACCTGTAAATATTTAGTTGTAACTCCCACATCCGAGCACATGCAACAATATAATTGGTCTTAATTTAAAGGTCAACCACTCCTCTTGGATATAATATCAACTTATCGGGTATATGTCCTTCAGTGGTAAATATATATGCTATAGAGTACAAATTTTGTACTTTTTCACACAAAAGTTAGGTTCCATCCGATCTTTATCAAAACAGGCATGCTTATTCTTTGGCCCGATCCCCTTCTCCATGCAAAATTTCACGAAGTTCGGGCCATTATTACGGCCTCTGGAGCGACCAGAAAAACCGAAAAAAATTAGTATCCCCTAAATATTAACCGATCTTTCCCAAAACCAATAGGGGTCTTCATTGGCCAGAACCCATTATACATGCAAAATTTCGTGAAGATTGGTCCATAACTGTGGTCTGTATCGTGTTTACAAATTATAATGGACAGACGGACAGACACACATGTCTAGATCGACTCAGCTAGTCGAGATATGACGATCGGTATACTTAAAGGTGGGTCTAGGACCAATATTTCGCGGCGTTACAAACTTTTGGGGCTGCACAAAGCTATAATACCCTGACAACATAGTTGTGTAGGGTATAATAACACCATTATTTCATATAAAATATAAAATACCTTGCTTTCATACGGAGACGTTTTAAACAATTGGGATCAAATTACACATCGATGCATTTTTTTTTAAAACTTACAACTTACAAAAATTTCTTACAAATTTCAAAAAAAAAACTTACAACTTACAAATTTCAAAAATAAAAACATACACCTATTTTCGAATTATATTTGGAATCTTGCATTTACTTTAGCACCCCGAAACAGACGTATTTTAATTATTAATGTATAAATAATTGCATATCTATATATGTGTGTGTCTGGTTGTGTTTCTGCTATTTTTAAGTAAATAATGGAATATTTCCTTCCCAATTATTTTTTTGAAATGTCATTTATTGTTTGAAATTGTGAAATTATTATTACTCGAAAGAAAAAAAAACACATTCCCAGCTCGACTATTAACACCAGCAATAAATTAAACTCAATTCATTATTTGTGACAGTGTCGCTCACAGTGTGAACGAATGCCTGACAAACGAATAAAGTTGGCTATGTATGTCCGACCCATCAACAATCCAACCCATTACCGAACCGTATATAGGAACGAACTATTATCGATCATGCAGGCAATCGGTAAATTTTATTTGATTCTATACAGCCAGACAAACTAGAATATATCAAAAAAGAAGAATACAACAAAAACAAAAAAGTTCTGAACAATGAGTGGGCTTAATTGATTAAATAGGGAAACAAGTCTCGTGCTTTTATTAATTGGCAATAACAATGATGACTATGACGATCACCACGATGATGATGATGGTGATCATTGCTCGTTATGAGGGCTTCCAGTGATGACGTTATCGTCTGTCTGTTTGCATGTAGAACAGTGTCTCTAATGAAGATGAAAGTTAGCCAAATGTTTACACAAACAGAATTGATGGTGGCGGTGATGATAATGATGATGAGACAATTGTGATGATATGGATTCATCATCATTTTATATCACGTTTATTTGCGTGACAAAAGACATGCGTGACTTTAATTAAATGGCATTATTGTTCATGAATTTGTTTTTTATTATTTTTTTATTGTTGTTGTCATTATTGTTGTTGTTGTTGCTATTGTTGTTATTACACAAGCACTTACAATGATGTACCGTTTTATTAAAACTAACTGCAAATGATTTCTTTATAAGTGATTTATTCATGCTTTATTTGTTACTTTTTTCTTTATTTACAGCTACATGTCCATAAACGTCGTCGTAGTCCATTATATATCACAGTAATATAAAGAAGAAGAAGAAAAAATACCATCAACATGAGTTTCAGTGGCCAGGGTTCATCTGGCGACAATAATGTCCGAAAATTATCATTTTTGGGATTCAATACAAAAAAGGTAAGTACAATAGCAGAAGCATGCTAAAAAGAAATCAATAATATCATAAATTGGGTTCAGTAAATTTAACCGATTCCGGTTAATCCTCGATATTTGAGAAGTTGTATATTAAGGGAAACGATTTACTGTCTCAGTATCAAGTGGGGGCGAGAGCGCTTCTCTCGAAACAGTGTTTTTACGAATGGCGGACCGATAACTCAAAATCAAATAGTCCATTCCAATCCAAATGTTAATACGTTATTCTGGATCTAAATAGCTATCGCATGAGGTGATTGGTCGAGTTTTTCTTATTTTCTAATTTGGTTTGTGGTCAAAAACAGGGAATTACAAAAAAAATCAATCAATCAAATTTTGTCATTTTTCACACAAAAGTCAGGGGCCATTTGACCCGCTAAATAATGGCATGCTTCTTCTTTTGCCCGATCCCCTTCTCCGTGTAAATTTGGGCCATAATTGCGACCTCTGGAGAGACCAGAAAAACGGACAAAAATTAAGTTGTTGGTTCATTTCATCCCCTAAGAACCCATCCTACATGCAAAATGTCGTCAAGATTGGTCCATAACTGTGGCCAGTATCGTGTTTACAAATTATAATGGACAGACGGACGGACGGATGGAAACACATGTCTAGATCGACTCAGCTAGTCGAGATACGACGATACTTGAAGGTGGGTCTAGGGCCAATGGGGCTACACAAAGCTATAATACCCTGACAACATAGTTGTGTAGGGTATAAAAACAATATTAAATATAGAAGACGAATATTGTGACCGATCTACTTGCACCTAAACTTGCTGATATCGCAGAAAAATAAGAAATATTAGGTTGGTGAAAAAGAAATCCATTCGAAAATGTCGATAAAATCGGTGAAATTATCGAAGTTGATCGGCATGTTAGCAGTCGTAACATCGCCCAGGAGCTAAAAATCGACCATAAAACTGTTTTAAACCATTTACACAAAGCTGGATTCAAACAGAAGCTCGATGTTTGGGTGTCAATCCAATTAACTGAATGGATCGAATTTCCATCTGCGAAGCCTTGGCCAAACGGAATAATATAGACCCATTTCATAAGCGGATTGTGACTGGAGATAAGAAATGAATCAAACGAAATGCGAAAACGATCGTGGTCAAAGAGCGGTGAAGCAACTAAAACGGTGGCCAAACCATGACAATCGGCCAGGAAGGTTCTGCTATGCATTTGGTGGGATGGGAAGGGGATTATTTTTATTATATGTTGATCCCATATGGCCAAATGCTAAATTCTGATCTCTACTGTCAACAACTAGCCCGTTTGAAGATAGTAATTGATCAGAAACAGCCAGAATTGGCCAACAGGAGAGGTGTTGTGTTCCACCAGTACAACGCTGGCCACACACATCTACAATGACTCGCCAGAAATTTGGGGAGCATGGTTGGGAATTTTTAATGCATCCGCCATACAGTTTGGACTTGGCACCAAGCGATTATGATAAAAATTGGTATCTATGAAAAGTGACTACTAGAGTATTTTGCAAATAGAGAGCAGGACTTCTATGAGAGAGGCATAATGAAGTTACTTTTAAAATGGCAACAAATCATATAACAAAACGGTGCATATTTGACCCAAATTGGACATTCCGAAGCGAGTTAAATAAAATCCTATAGTTCACATAGAAATAAAGGATTTTTCCCCTCAACCTAATACATCCCAGAAAAATTCGACGAATTCTGCGTAAGAATGGTCTTCCAGGTAGAGTTCCATTGAAAATTCGTAAACCCTAAAAACCGGAAAATACGATTTTAGTTCGTTCAGAAACACTTACAGCATGTTTTTGTAAAATTCCAAACGAAAGAATTCGAGTGACTTACGACCAAACCATTATTTATGTTTATAGATGTTTTCTGATTCAAAACAAAAATAAATGACATATTTTTCAAAACCAAGGAGTTTGGTCGTAAGTCACTCGAATTCGTTCGTTTGGAATTTTACAAAAACAGGCTGTTAGAAAAGATTTTGCATTTCCGAAATCTGTTATTTTTGTTGATGAAAGCAAATTTAATGTCCTCTTTGATGGCGGGCATGATAACTCCTGACTGGAACATCGGAATCCGAAAATCGGTCAAAATCAACAAAATGGCGGTCCTATTTTCGAAAAATCGCCTATATTGTACCACAAACCATGTTAAAAAGTAAGGAAGATGTTGACCGATGGGATTTATCCTAGTTCATACGATAGCTATACACTCACAGAGAAACGTCCCTAAATTTGGAATCGATCGGATCATTATTTTTTGAGTTATCGTGTCCGCCATTCGCTAAACGCTGTTTGGAGAAAAATGCGTTTAAAGTTTGAGAAGCCCTCTTGTCGTCACTTGATGCCAGCACAATTAATCGGCTATATCTTCAAGATTTGTTGAGATTTTCACTTGAAATTCCATAGGGGCATTCTTGAATTAATGTAGATTCGAATTAAATCAAAATACAAAATTAATTTTTTTGAAACCGAGAATGGGGAGTCCCCTTAAATCGGTTTTACATTTTATATCTATGCAATTCCAATGAATTATTTACCAAATAACGAAACCCGTTTGATATTACTTTCAATTTTCAAAATCATTGTTTTGTTTATTTGTTTAAATAAAACACAACATTTTATCGAAAGTTTTGCCATTGGCCCGACCTCAATGACTTGACACAATTATCATTACGCATGGAGATATTATAGTTCGATGTGTCAATAATTTAACAATTATCTGTTTGTTTTAATCAGACCTTACACTAATCGACAAATATAGTTTGAAATCAGCCGGTTCTAGTAACGATCAAAACGAAAAGACCCTTTTTCGTTGAAAAATTGAATTGATTTTATTCGATAAAAGTTGTGTACTTAAATAGGGAGTTGGTTGTAGATCAAAGCTCCTCATAATTATCATGGAATAAACCAAAAATTAGCATTTTGAAAAATTAGCATGTTGAAGGCAGGCCACATACAAAAATTCGTCATTTCTTAAATTATTATATGCTGTGAGAAAAAATAATTTACGGAAATCTCTAGTCTGTGAACATATCTTTATCTAAACTATAGTAAAACATATCAAACATTTTTTTACTCTATTCGGTTTAGAACCAATAAATCTACTTCAAATAATTTGTTGCACAGTGTTTGAAATCCATTTAAAGGTCGCACCTTTCTGCCCTTGTCACGAAATTTGAAATTGTCAAAACATATTGTTTATCAGTGAAATAAGTGAGAGGAGTGATAACCACATGAGAGGTGGGTCAATCGATTAATATATATATATATATATATATCAGTTATTCAGGTTAGAACTACAACATACTGGATCCATAAGTTTCCTAATAAAAATCACTTTGCGGTGATTAGTAAGTGATTGACATATTACCCAACAAACAAATTTCCGTTTGTGGGTGGGAAACCCTACACCATTTGTATTGCTCGTCGTAGAAGATAGACGTTATATAAATAAAACCAGTGAGCGGAGCAGTATAGTCGAACGGGGTCGATCATACAATACCCTGCCCATACCACGGTACTCTAACTTTCTGCGGATGTTTATTCCAAGCCTGGACAATATTTTTTGTCCGATTAGAGGTCAACAGCACCTTCTCCTAAAACTGACATATTTTCCGAATATTACTAATATTCTGCTCAGCCCTTCTAATTACTTGTCCAGATTCCCTAAACCGTCGGTTGTGTTGTGATGTTCGGATTATAATTGTGGCCCATAGATCGACTAAAAAAACAGACACACACACAAAATAAGTTTTCGGTCCACTTCACCCCAAAATTATTATCTGATCATCACCGATAATTATTGGCGTTGTCCTTGACCATAACTGGAACTACATAGAAAATTTCAAAGCGATCAGCTTCAGGAGTAAATAAATACGCTATAGAATACAAATGTTGTCATTATTTACACAAAAATCTGGGTCCATTTGACTCGCTAATTATTGACCGATCTCTATCAAAACATAAATGCTTCTTATTGGGCCCGACTCCCTCCTCCATGTAAAATCCCAATAAAAATTAATAAAAATTAAAAGTTAAGTTTCATCCCCTAAATATTAACCGATCTTTACCAAAAACAAGAGGGGTCCTAAATGGCCAGAACTGGTCCTACATGCACAATTTCTTGAAGATTATCCATAATTGTGGCCTGTATTTACAAATTACAATGGTCAGAAGCAGTGTAGTCGGACGGGGCTAACTGAAGTCAAACTTTCTGCTGATCTATATTCCAAACCTGGACAATATTTTTCGATATTTGCATTCTCTTAACCGATTAGAGGTTTGTGCCAGCATTTCGAGAATCATGAACTGAACAGTGAAGATATATAGAGTGAAGTCCTGTGGGATTCGTTTCGTTTATAAACCAGATCGAATGTCTGTGGTAGCATGGGTATCTGGGCGCCCATATGTCGGCGGACCTTGTCTGGACGTTTGGCGTTGCCCCCTTAGCGTGCATATTCCTGGCAAAAAAATAAAAAGAAAATATGCGATCACGATCAAAATATATTTATAACACGAGCAAAACAAATGGTCTCCTCTTTTTTTTTCGCTGAATTAGGGTATGTGGCTAAGTGTTGGTTCCGTTTGAGCAACGTATAAGGCTCAATTGTGAGAGGTATATCACTATTTGTTTTCTGAATCATCGGAGAAAAACGAAACAAAAAAAAAAAAAAAAAAAATACGAATCATCACTTACCTCGACAATCGGCTCCAATTAGCGCCCGTCCAAAAGATGAAATTAAGTGATCATCCGCCGTACAGCTCTAACTTGGCACCTGATCATTTTCGTCGCCAATAAATTTTGATGAGTGTCTCAATCCGAAAGAAAAAAATCGTCGATAATTTGTATGAGCGCATCGAAAAAATTTTCAGATCATGATGGATAATAATTTGGAAAACAATAAAACAATTTTTGATGATAAATATTCGCATATGTTATCTATAGCAGGATTTCTTTAAATTGAAGATCCTTAAATTTTTGTGGC